GCACTCGAACGAAATGGGATCGTCTTCTTCCTCTAGCCTCTCTGGAATATAAAAAGGAAACGAACGTAAATTGGAAAAGGAGGAATTAATATGCATTTAATCACTACATTTTGAGTAAAAAAAGAATCTAGACCAAGATGCCTTTTGATGTTTTATGGTAATCGCGTTCTGACTAAACCCTTTTAGTGTCGGTTAGTCGAAAAATATATTTCATAATTATTTGTAAAGGCAGAATACCCTCCCTTCCTATTTTAGAGCAAGGCAACTACACAAGGACGTCAAAACAACGTGTGTCTGAATATCATTACACTATCAATATAATAATTACGATCTGTTTCCCTACTGTTGCAGGGCTAGTGTCTGGTTCTCCCCTTCTCCCAATCACTCGATCTCGTCTCTCCGAACTTCAAGGCCAGAATACAATCATTACCACTACGACCTTATTCTATCTAACACTGTTCTCTAAACTCACCCAAGGTCTCCTTCTCATCTCTCTCTCCCGTCTCCCCAACAGGCACAAAATCACCACAAAACGGAAATAACTCTTTACCTCGTAACTCGGTGGTTGTATCGACGGTCTGGCGATGAAGTCACTCCCTAACTTCTCCTTCCTTCGGATGTCCTCGTAGACGTGGCCTCGTCGGTAAAACGTCTTCTGGAACCTCCAACCCGGACGGGATCTCCGCGAGCTTCTGTGTCTGAGAGGGAAGGGGTTTATGAGAATGTTTTTCTTCTTTTTTTCTTTTTTTACGGGTTCTTGTTATTTCGTGTGAATGTTGGCGCTTGGTGAAGATTGATGGTGGTGGTGGTGATATTAATTATTGTCATTACATTGATAATACTTGATACACAGGCTACTTAGGTCCTGTGTTCCTTTGACAATGTGACGAAACTTTCTAATATGATCGTATGTCGTAACCATTTACCTCTTCATCTGGCACGCTTGCAAAATTTCTTGATTATCATCTTATTCTCGTTCTGTAATACCTTGTGATTAAGAGTAATTTTGTTAAAAAATCTCCATAGATAACAAAACTAAAAGATACTAACGGGGGTCTGAGCGGTCCAATGCCCCATTCTGCATATTTTTCTGGTGACCTTCTTGGCGCCCTTTCTTGAGCAGTATCTTCTTCGTCTTTGCTTATCTCTGCGTCTGTTTTATGTTCGTCTTCATTCGCTTCCTCCGTGTCTGCCTCTTCGTCTTCGCTCGTCCCTGCGTCCACTTTTGCTTCTTTGCCTTCGTCTTCACTACTTTCTGCGACACCTTCCTCATTTTCTGCTTCGCCTTCATCTTCTTCCTTCTTGAAAATTTCGCCTGTGTTTTTCCTCTCTCCTCTTCCTACGTTATCTATGTTGGTTCTATCCTCACTTCTATCTCCATGGTCTTTCTCCACCTCCGTCTGAGTCGGGAACTCCTCCAGATTTAGAGAAGAAACGGTGCTTGTGGCATCCAGCTGCATCTCCTGCTTCCTTCCCCCGTCTTTGTCAACATCGAACGGAAGAATTGCATTGCTTTCGGGCTCCTCTTCGTGTCGACCTCCCCTTTGATGGGACTTTCTCTCTGGCAAGTGGTGATGGTGACCTGCTTTTACGGTTGACAAAACGTGGTTCTCGGTGATGTCGTTACTTCCAGAGGCCTTGCTCTGCTCGTGCAGGCCGGGGGAGCCCGTGACAATGGCCGAGGGACGAGCGGTGGCGATGGTGGCGTTCTTCTTGTGGAAACCGGGGGGCTTTTTGTTCCGGCGGGATTTGCCATATCTGGGATTCCCGGTTTTCCCTGTGCGCTTGAGGAAGTGCTTACCTTTGCGACGAAGAGTGGGTTTAGACGTATCGTTTAGCTTTAAGGTGTTTGGTTTATTTCGACGAGGTCCGTGTCTACCCTTGGCGTGCTTCTTGGCGTTAGAGTGAAGTCTGCTTCTACTTCCATCCACTTCCGAAGGCCGGTCATCTTCTTCGGGTTCTGAATGATCCTGTCCTTCAGTTAGGGTTTCGTCTTCCTTCTCCTTTCTGGAACTTTCCTTGTTCTTGCTGTGGGGGCTGTCTTGCTCATCTGAATCTTCTGCGTCGTCAAAATCTAAGCCATCTTGGTCAAGAGACTCTTCACCATCCTGCTTGCGATGATGCGTGACGCGCAGCCTTCCCTCACCTGGACGAGCCACAGAATCATCATTTCCATGGCGTTTGTCTGCTCTGTATTTGTGTTTATTCTTGCCCACTTTTCTCATTCCACCTCTGTGCCTTTGCTGTCCGGAGTGCGTAGCGTTGCGGTCCAGTTTACCAAACCTGTGCCCAGAACCTTTCTTCTTGTCGCCGTGTTGCGTTCCGTCCTTGCCAATCTTGCGTCGACGCCCACGCTTTCCGTGGTGGTTGTGTCTGTGGGGATGCTCTTCCTGTGGAGCCAGGGCCGTTCCTTCTCCAGCGACGTTGCTGTTGTTGGGCGGAGGAACAGTTGCGTTTTGGGCGAAAGGTCTCGCAGTGGTGGATGGCTGCTGGCGGTTGGGAACTTGGTGAGAACTGCGCCGTTGACCCTTTTTCCGGGAATGCTTACTCTTCCGACGTGTGGGCGCCGTCCTGTTGTTGCCTGGAGGGTGTCGAGCAAATAGCAAGATTAGAAAAAAACAGCAGCTAATTCTCACCTTTGGTGCGTAACCATATTTAAATGAAAACCTAATTGATTAAAGCATTATACAATTTGTTTTCATTTATTATATCTCATTGAAGGCAATCCTCAGAAATATATCGATTGTCGTTTAAACCAAAATAGAGAACTTGGTATCGCTCGCTTCCTCTTCCTCTCTAAATAATTTCATATAAAGTATTTTATACCTATTTAAAGATATAGTTCCGGTCTGTCTTATTATAAGCAAGGAAAGAAGAACGTAAATGATACCGAGATAACAGACTCTAAACATTTCAAACAACAATAACACTCATTTACGTGGAGTAGTTGTAATCAGCCTGGGTTTCGCTGTCGAATTGGTGGTCACGTGAGGTCTGGGCGAGACAGAATCCGGGGCATCTGGTACGGTCGTCTGAGATACAGAGGACTCTACGATGGGTAAGTCAGTGGAGAGTAAGTCTGTTGTAGGGGTATCAATGGTTAGTGAGTCAATTTTGGGTATGGTAGGTCCCGTAGGTGTTGGGATTGGTGGGACTTGGGTAGATTGGTGGTTCTGAGAAAGTAGGGGCAAGGGTAGTTGTGATTGTTGTTTCTGTGGTAGTGACTGAAAGGTTTGTTTGTTTGGGAGGTTTTGAGGGAGTTGGGGTTGCGATCGGTACGTGGGTTCTGTTTGACTGTGTAGTGGAGTTGTTGGTTCTGTTCTGCCCAGGACGTCTTCCTTTGTGCTTCTTTGGGTGGACTCGTCCAGCCTGTCTCCTGTTGGATAGGAAAACATTAATGACCTTGAAGAGAAAAGCAAAATTTGCGGCAGATATTTCACAAGAATTTTGACTGTATGAATGACTTGCGCACTTTACCCCTTGTTTCTGTTCCAGCGGCGGTGTCCTCGCACCGCCTCTCGCTCCAGGTCCTCTTCCTGCTGGGCTTCTCTTCCTTGAGAGGGCTCTTGGTTGCCTCGCTGGCCCCCCTGGCCGCCCTTGCTCGGGTGGCGCGACCGGTGCCTCCAGTCGCGCCCTCTCCACTTCCCTTTCTTAAACTTCTTCTTCTGCTTGTGTGTCGACGGGAAGCCTCTGCCCGTGACGTTCCTTCCAGCTTTGTTGTCTCTGTTGTGTAATCTTCCGCGATTCTTCTGCCTCCTGTGCTTCTTCATGTTGACGCGTCCGCCGTGGAGTTTTGTCCCGTTGGCATTCTTTCTGCTGGTTGTGTTGTTTTTCCTTCTGAAAACGGCGTTGTTTGGATTTCTCTTCATGTAGGGGTTCGTCCTTCCTCCTTTGCTACTGGAAGGGCTGATGCTTCCACATATGTATCCTCCTGGCCGGTCTCTGCAGGCGTGTGGGTGCACGGCTGCCTCGTTGCGGGTGGCGTCCTTCGTTCCAGCGAGCCCTTGCGACTTGAAGTCCCCTCCGTGCGCCAGCGTTTCGTTTCCTGCATCTGCCTTTTCGCTGGACTCGCTGACTGGATCTGATCTGAGGGCCGAGTGACGAGGCACGTGCGGCGGGGTCGTGGTTGGCCTGGGATGAGGAAGCGCCTTTCTCGGCTTGGACTGCCAGGGCGAGTGGCGAGGCCTCTCGCCGCGAACGGTGGCAGGTCCTTGGTCCAGACCGCTCTCAGCCTTGAGGTTCGGTCTCGCCTGCTCCGGCTTCTTTTTCGGTCTAGGGGAGCCTCCCTGCCTGTTGTGCTGAGACGACAGCGTCTGGTTGCCCTTCAGAAGCTTCCTGTTCACCGGCAGTCTGCCTCCCTCGGGGCCCTGGTCCACAACCGAATTGTTCATCCTGAACAGCTTTGGACTCCGAGGCTTGTTGAAGGGCTTCTTGACCCTGGGCTTCCCGTGCGGCTTCGCGGGCTGATTCTGGTCGTACACCTTGGGCTTCCGTGCGCCCTCCGCGATCCCGTTCACGTCGTTCTTCTCGTACTGCTCCAGGTCGGGCTTCCTCTCGGGCTTCGCGACCTTGGTCTTGGTGGGCTTCGAGGTCTCGTTCTCCTTGTCGTCCTTCTTGCGGCTCGACGGGAGGACGACCTTCTTGCCCGGCCTGCGCTTGGGCGTGAGCGTCGGGGGCGTCGCCGTGGTGGTCGTCGGGGCGGTGGTCGTAGAGCGAGGCCCGGCGACGGTCGGGAGGAACGACGGCGCCGAAGTGAGGCCAGCTGGGGGCTCCGGCGTCGTCGCGATGAGGTTGACTGTCGGATGGGAAGGGGATAGAAATGGGAGAGAGAATAGAGAGAGAGAGAGAAGGAGGAGAGAGAGAGAGAGAGAGAGAGAGAGAGAGAGTTGGAACGTAGAGAGAGAAAAATGCTAAGAGGGAACGATAGAGAGAGAGAAAGAAAAATGGTGGGTGTGACGGATAGAGGAGAGAGAAAGAGAAATGGAAAGAGGGACGAACAGAAGGAGAGAAAGAGAGAACTGGTTGGTGGGACGGGTAGGAGAGACTGGGGCAGAAGGAACGGATGAAAGAAATAGGATAAAAAAGACGTGGAAATAGTGGGTGGGAAGGACAGAGAGAAAGAATGAAAGACAGATAGATAGACAATCAACAAGATAGAGATATGCTTAATCAGAGAGAGAAAGAGTAAGAGCGGGAATGAGAAAGAGTAATGTGTACAAATCAAAGCAGAAGGACATTTAAGATGACCATCCATAAAGCAAAAAATAATTTCAGCACATGTAAAAAAATAGAAAAAAAAATATATAAATGAATACAAATATAAGTATACAAACAAATTCGCAGATCTTCCAAAGAGAAAGGAAAATGCAAAAGAAAAAGAAGCAAAAAACAAAATTGATGTACACAATACTTAAATATCGGTAGCTACACTATAATACTATTACACTTATGATTCGGCGAATGCGAAATAAGAGAAAGAATGAAAAAATAAAGAAATAGAGGAAGTAAAAGAAAAATAATAAAAGGGAATAAAAAAAGAATTAAAAAGAAAAACACTGATAATACTAACGAAACTTGAGAAATGAAAAAAAAAGAAAAATTAAAAGAACACAAGCAACAAAAGAAGCGAAAGACAACAAAAGGAAGCTTCAAACGAAAGCCGACGACTCACGACAGAGGCCACAGGACTTTCTGCAGAAGCGGTTCATGTAAGACGGGTTTCCTTCGCACTCGCCGAGGTTCGCCCACTCGGGACACAGGATGTTGGCGTCCCAGCACTCGTCTGCGGGAGGAGGAGGGCGCCGTCGTCAGCTTCGGTTCGGCTGTTGGTCGGTTTGTCTGTCTGTCTGTCTGTCTGTTTGGGTGTGTCTGTCTGTCTATCTCTCTCTTTCTGTGTGTGTGTGTGTGTCCCTGTCTATTTGGGCGTGTCTGTCTGTCTATCTGTGTGTGTGTGTGTGTGTGTGTGTGTGTGTGTGTGTGTGTGTGTGTGTGTGTGTGTGTGTGTGTGTGTGTGTGTGTGTGTGTGTGTGTGTGTGTGTGTGAGAGAGAGAGAGAGAGAGTTTCCTTCTCTCCATTCATGTTTACTTCGGTCTCTGTCCTTCTCAGTCGTCTGCCCCGTCTCTCTCTCTCTCTTTCTTTCTTTCTATCTTTTGGTTTACTTCTCTATTTCTCTCCGACTATCTCTGTTTCTCCCTCTGCCCGTCTCTCTGTCTGCTTCTCTCCATCTATATCTCCTTCAGGCATTGTCTGTCTGTCTCTCTCAATCAGTCAGTCAGTCTTTTTGTTTGTCTGTCTGTCTCCATCCTTACAGTCTTTCTATCTATCATAATCTCATCATAAAAAAAATCTACATACATAAAAAATATCCACATATTAAAAAAATAATAAAACGACTTAAGTACACATTATCAGTTATAACGAGAAATCAACCTTCCTCTATCCACACAGACAGGGGATATCCACACAGCAGCTTACCGCATCGGCCACAGGAGCGCTTGCAGTGAACTTGCATCCACAGGTAGTTCTCCTCACACTGGTCGTGGCTCGCCCAGAACTCGCAGTCGTTGTGGTTGTCGTCGCAGAGGGTCGTGAACTCTGCGAAGTGAGGGGCTCGCGTTAAGAACTTGGTGGAGGTAGAGTTGATACAGACAGACAGACATACACACACATATATGCATACACAACACACACACGCGCGCACACACACACACACAGACACACACACACACACACACACACACACACACACACACACACACACACACACACACACACACACACACACACACACACACACACACACACACACACAACACAACACACACACATATATTTTTTTGTCCCCTCTTGGAAGAAACAGCTAAGTCCCCCCTTTCACTCGACACAGAAAACTTCGCCGACGTCCAAAGAAAACGAGGCACAAAGGACGGAGAAGGGAAGCGGATGAAAAGAGAGAAGGAGACGAGGAAAGGGTGAGCAAAAGAGAGCATATAAAGAATGGAAAGAAGGTATTATTGTTACACAGAATGGCTCCTTGAAATGCTTTTTACACGGAGAGACGTTAGAAAAAAAAGAGTGAGTAGCATTTATTAACTGCAAGAATATCTGTTGTTTAACTTAAAAGATAATGAGAATGATAACAAATACTGATGATTAAATTTATCATGATTCCAGTTATACTATTAATGGTAAGTCTATTAAAATGGAATAATGGCAGTAAAAAAAAAAGAACACAGTATTAGTTAGTGAAATAGCAACACGAAGCATGGTAAAACTGCGATTAAAATATCTAATTGCAATGATATCAGCATAGTATCTGATTTACGATAATTTGCTTTTACTCATAATGTAAAAAAAGAACAAAGTAAAAAAAAGAAGAATGTATGAGGTTATCCCTCCCCCCCCTCAAAAAAAAAAAAAAAAAAAATCTTAACTCCCTCTACCATCTAATAACTCAATGAACAAACAATTATCCAACACCCAACAAGATTATCCAATTATCCAACAAGAAAATTCAGCAACGATAACCCCCCCCCTCCCCCCTTGTAGACAGAGAGACCAAAACTCCCCCCCCCCCACCCCACTTACCGCACTGAAGGCAGGACTTCTTGCAGAAAACCTTCATCCATAACGGGTTCTTCTCGCACTCTCCGTTCACCGCCCAGTACTCGCACTCTTCGTCCTTGTCTGTGCACTCGTCTGTGGGAGAGAGAGAGAGGAAGTGGGGGTTATAAGAGGGAGAGCTTATGTAAGATTATTATTATTATTTTTTTTATATATAAAAAGGGTGTGTGGGTTTATGAGGGAGGGTTAGTGTAAGTTTTTTTTTTTTTGGGGGGGGGAGAAAGAGAGAATGGGGTTATAAGAGGGAGAGGTTGTGTAAGATTTTTTTTTGGGGGGAAGAGTATGTGGGTTGTATAGGGAGGGTTAGTGCAAGATACTTTTTTTCTTGGGGGGGGGATTAAAAGAGGGAGAGCTTGTGTAATATTATTTTAGGGGGGGGGAGAGTGGGGTTAATGAAGAGGAAGGTTGTAAAAATATTTTTGGGGAAAGATAGAGAATGTGGGTTGTATGAAGGAGAGTTTGTGTAAGAATATTTAGGATAGATTAAGAATAAGAATATCTAAGAGAAAGTGTAAAAAGTGGGGAAGGGGTTATAAAAGGGAAGTGTAAGAAAGAGAGGTTATTAAGATTGTTATATAAATATTTTTCTTAAGGAAAAGAGAGAGGCGGGGGAAGGGGTAATTAAAAGGGAGAATTGGTGTAAGGATATTTATAGAAAAAGAGAGAGTGGGAGGCTATAAGAAGGAGAGTTGTTATAAAAAAAAAAAATTCTTTGAGAAAGGGAGGCCAAGGGGTGGGTACAATTAAGAGGGAGAGTTGTTATAAAGATATATTGGCAGAGTGTGTGTGTGTGTGGGGGGGGGGGGGGGTGAATGACAGGGAGGGTTGGTGTAAAAATATTTGGGAGACAGGGGGGGGGAAGTGAATGAAATTGAGTATTGTTATAAGAATACTTAAGAAAATAAAGGAATAAGGAGGATGGTTGTAAGGCTATGAAGGATGAATCAAGAATGTTATTCAAGTTATTTCATTTGAGCTTTCTTACGTTCGAATATGGATTTCATCCACTTATTTTTTTTTAAATAATTTAAAGATTTCTAATGCTCTAGCGATAGTAATGGTGTTTAAATATTTGTTTAATAAGCGCATTTACCTATGCAAATCTCATATAAACGATGTCAGCTGAAATACAGTAGCGATATATACATATAACTGATTATAACACTTAATACAACACTAAATACAGTAATAACAACAATGATAATCACACAAATTGATGAGTGATATAGTACAGGGTTCGGGTGCATTCTTAAAAAGTCTTAAAATCTCTTAAATATTTCTTGGAAATTAAAAGCATTAAAAAGTCTTAAAAATGCAGCTTTTTCTGACGCAGGTCTTAAAACGTCTTAAATTTGCCAAAGGCCTTTCTCGATCGGAAATCATCTGACAGCATTAGATCTTGACCTTTGTTGATGACGTCATTTGGGCCTGAGGGTCGTGTGCAATCTATTTAAGGGTCGTGTGATGGTGTTCGTGTGCAATCTACTTAAGGGCCGTGTGCAATCTAAGTGCAATCTACTTATGGGTCGTGTGCAATCTATTTAAGTGCAATCTTATTTAAGGGTCGTGTGCAATCTACTGATGGGCCGTGTGCAATCTACTAATGGGCCGTGTGCAATCTACCTATGGGCCGTGTTAATTACTTATGGGCCGTGTGCCAATTTTACTATGGGCCGTGTGCTTATGGGTCGTGTGCAATTTACTTATGGGCCGTGTGTGCCAATTACATAGCGTGTGTAGACAGACCGTATACACATAACATCACGTGTCGTCTGCACTGCACTGAGCGGCACCCGAAATATAAAGACCACGGCGTAATTACATTGAAATACTTATGATAACATAATTAATGTATTAATGTAAGGGAGCATATATGAATCTATATTTATGCTGGTGTCGCATAAATCCAGATTGCTGTAGGCCTATAACAAGGTAAAACAAATATGACGCAAGAAATTGAGTACGTTTTATATACCGATTTATTCCTGTACAGTTATGCTCATTCACCTGCGCAATAACATCTATCCCTAATGGAAATTATTCTTGCTAAATCTATTATTGGGAAACATAATTTATAATAATCCAAAAAGCTGAATACACGCAAATCTGGTAAATTTGTTCTGTTTGTGTATAATCAGTAATTACGAAATGATTGGAACTCATAGATCAGGTTAACTCTGCTCTTCTAAAAAGCCATGATGGTCCTCTGCTTACCGATACAGTTTATAATCATCCGCCCTTGAACTAATATAGTTATTACTAATATAGTTATTTGAATAAGTGTGCAAATAACCTGCAATATGGGCCGTGTGCAGTTCACTTAATGCAATCACTTATGGGCCGTGTGCAAATCTACTTATGGGCCGTGTTGTAATCTACTTATGGGTCGTGTGCAAACTGAATTATGGGTCGTGTGGCAATCTACTGATGGGCCGTGTGCAATCTACTCATGGTCGTGTGCAATCTACCTATGGGCCGTGTGCAATTTACTTATGGGCCGTGTGCAATCTACTTAAGGGCCGTGTGTGCAATTGCAAACCTATGGGCCGTGTGCAATCTACTCATGGGCCGTGTGCAATCTACCTATGGGCCGTGTGCAATCTACCTATGGGCCGTGTGCAATTTACTTATGGGCCGTGTGCAATCTATATGGGCCGTGTGCAAATTTACAATGCGTGTGTAGACAGAACCGTATACACATAATACATCATGTGTCGTCTGCACGTCTGCAATATACGGTGTATACAACGTATATTGCAGCACTGAGCGGCACCCGAAATATAAAGACCACGCGCATATTACATTGAAATACTTACAGATAACATAATTAATGTATTAATGTAAGGGAGTATATATGAATCTATATTTATGCTGGTGTCGCATAAATATAGATTGCAGTAGGCCTATAACAAGGTAAAACGAATATGACGCAAGAAATTGAGAACGTTTTATATACCGATTTATTCCTGTACAGTTATGCTCATTCACTGCGCAATAACATCATATCCCTAGTAAAATTATTCTTGCTAATATCTAATCACCAACACTATGAGAAACATAATCATAATAATCCATAAAAGCTAAATTACACGCAAATCTGGTAAATTGTTCTGTTTGTGTATAATCAGTAATTACGAAATGATTGGAACTCGTAGATCAGGTTAACTCTGCTCTTCTAAAAAGCCATGATGGTCCTCTGCTTACCGATACAGTTTATAATCATCCGCCCTCGCAATTAATATAGTTATTACTAATATAGTTATTTGATAATGTTATCTGTAAGAATATCAATGTAATATCCTGCAATAAACGGTGTAAACGCGTGGTCTTTTTATTTCGGGTACCACTCAGAGCAGTGCAGACGACACCTGATGTCTTATGGCGCATGCGCAGATGAGTGTATACGGTCTGTCTACACTCGCATGCGCACCTAACAACAACAAAAACAAGACGACCACACGCACTCCACTTACAGAGTTCGTACTTCATGGTGACCTCCGTAATAAAGTCCCCCTGTAGAACGACCGACAGCTTGTGCTCTAAGGACACGAAGGACTTGGGCACGTTCCCCCCGTCGCCTGGGTACACCCGGGTCGTGGCGGGGGGGTAGGAGGGCTCCCCCGCCTCGTTGACGACCAGGTAGGAGTCCTCGTGGACGGGGAGCTGGAGGTCGACGATGCTCAGCTTGACGTGGCTTCCGCGCGCGGCCTGGGGGGGAGGGGGGGGGAGGGGGGGAGGGGAGGGGGAAGGAGGAGGGGGAGGGAAGGGGAAAGGGAAGGGGAGGGGGAAGGGGGGGAGGAGGGGGAGGAAAAAGAAGAAGAAAAGAGGGTAGATTGGGGGGAGGAAGAGGAGGGAAGAATGGGGGAGGTTGAGGGAGGTGGGGAAGGTTGTGGGAGGAAGAGGAGGAAGAGAAGAAGAAGAGGAGGAGGGGAGAATGGGATGCGTTTGGGGGTAGGAGGAGGAGGAGGAAGAAATGTAGGTTGGGGAAGGAAGGTAGGTTGGGTGAGGAAGAGAGTGTGGGGTAGGTTGGGGATTTGGGATTAATGCTAATAGTTATTCTGTATCTTTACGAATTTTGACATTATTATATTCTAAACATTACATATTGGTAAGAAAATATTATCAAACAAAACAAACGAATCAGAGGTAGTAATCAACAAAGAACCTTGACAATAAACCACTTAATAATACAACCACAGAATCAATCTACAACACAGACACAGACGTACACAACACACAAACACTCACACAAGCCAGCAGTCACATGTGGCGCAAAAGACCACGCACAGAGAGGCAAGCAATAAAATAACACACACAGATACCCAAGCAGAGATATTATCGGCACACACACGCACACGCACACACACACGCACACGCACACGCACACGCCACACACGCACACGCACACGCACAACACACGCACACGCACAACACACACACACACACACGCACACACACACACACACACACACACACACACACACACACACACACACACACACACACACGTTCTTTCTCTCTCAGGTCCTCTCCTTCAATACGTCTTTGGCCCGTTCTGTCGTTCTTTACCTCGATCCACCACTCGCACTGAACCAGCTCGAAGAACCGCGGGCCGACGGTGATCCAGCCTTGCGGTTCAGTGCGGTTCACGGTCAGGATCTGCGGCAGAAGGAGAGTGGGGAGTGAAAAGGGAGGAAGGGGGGAGGAAGAAGAGGAAAAAGGAGAGGGAGATGAATATGGGGAGGGGGATTGTTTGTGTGTGTCTGTGGAAGGTCTTCTCTCTCTCTCTCTCTCTCTCTCTCTCTCTCTCTCTCTCTCTCTCTCTCTCTCTCTCTCTCTCTCTCTCTCTCTCTCTCTCTCTCTCTCTCTCTCTCTCTCCTCTCTCCTCTCTTCTCTCTCTCTCTCTCTTTTTCACGGTATGCATGTGTATGTGTCTATGCGTGTCTGTTTGTCTGTCTGTAAACGAATCTCTGGTAATTCATCAGCCTGCCTCCTTATACAAAAATAACATTCATCATATATCAATAAAAAACAGCATATACACATCTCCCTATCTGCTTATAATCGGACAACCAGCATGACTGTGACCTTGTGGCAGGGCGATTCCTCCAATACAAAAGCGACTTGATAAGCTGCATACTCTGCGTTGAAGAGGGGCGGGTCTCCGCTGTACTGCAGATGGTGCAACGAGGCGACATTGGGCAGCACCACCTCTTTGGTCTGTTCTTGAGAAAGGCCCTGTTTTCTCAGTCCGCGACAGTGCCTGGAGACAGAGTGCGTGTGGTGTAGTTAGAGTGTAATATTATTAATGTAATACTACTTACCTAATGAGCGTAGTTTCTGTACTGATGATTCCTGTGTTGCAGTCGTTGCGTCACTGGTGTTATTGCAGAGGGAACCTCGTTGCAATTTACATGCTAACGGCATTATTGCAATTTTATCAATACTGTTACATATACAAATATACATTCACACACATATATGTATGTAAAACATATATATATATATATATATATATATATATATATATATATATATATATATATATATATGTAAAATATATAAATATATATATATATATATATATATATATATATATATATATATATATATATATATATACACCACACACACACACACACACACACACACACACACACCACACACACACACACACACACACACCACACACACACACACACACACACAACACACATATACATATATATATGTATATATATATTAATATATATATATATATATATATATATATATATATATATATATATATATATATATATTTATATTTCATGAACATATAAGTAAAGGAACTAAGAAAATAAGGCATCAGTGCTGCTGCAAATAACAACGCTAATAACGAAAACAACATTGATTGAACTATCACACTAACAATAATCTATCTATACACAAAATCAATAATAATAATTAAAAATAATAATGAATATAATAATTCGATGATAAACAATTAACGGCAATAATAGATGAATAACAGTGATGATAAAAAACCAATGATTGTAGTAATAATTATGACAGAAATCATAATAAAAAATATAATTATAACAATTATCATTATAATAATGACAATTATAATAGTAATAATAATAATAACAATGGTAATTTTAATAGTAAAAATAACAACAATAGTAATTTGATAATAATAATAATAATGATGATAATAGAAATATTAGTAATAGTATATATATAAACATTAATAATACTGATAATAAATAATAATAATAATAATAATAATAACATAATAATGATGATAATGATCATAATAACAATAATGATAATACTAATACTAATGATAATAATGATAATAATAAATGTGATAATAATAGCACCACCAATCAAGATAAACAATCACCACAATAATGATAGAAAATTAAATTCATATATAAATAATAGATTGGTGAATTAACCAAGCATCTTCTCCTCCGCCCGTACCTGTTGCAGCGGCCGTGGGGTTGGCACAGCCGGAGGGAGCAGGTCCACTGGTCTCCGCTCTCGGCCTCCTCGCTTCACCACGGACACCACGACCTTCGCTGGGGCTTCCTGTGGTGGGGGAGAGGGGGGGAGGGGAGGGGTGGGTGGGTGGGGGGGGAAGGGGGAGGGGAAGAGGGAAGAGGGAGAGGGCGGTGGTGGTGAAGGGGAAGAGGGAGAGGGTGATGGTGGTGGGTGGGGGAGGGGGAAGAGGAAGAGGGGAGGGGTGGGGAAAGGGGGAGAGGGAGAGGGGGGGTGGTGGGGGGGAAGGGAAAGAGGAAGAGGGGAGGTGGGGAAGGGAGAGGGGGTGGTAGGGGGGAAGGGGGAAGAGGGAGAGGGGTGGTGGGGGGGAAGGGGAAGACAGGGGGAGGAGGGTGGAATGGTGGTGGGGGGAGGGAATAAAGGAGTGGATTGTTGGGAAAGAGGAGTAATGCGAAGGGTAAGAAAAGGGAGATTTAAGGAAGGGGGGAGGTAAAAAGACGAGAGAGAGAGGGATAGCGAACGAGGTATAGGGGGAAAGATAAGAGAGCGGAAGGAATGAGAGAGGGAGAGGAAGGAAGAGATTAGAGGAGGGTGAGGAGAAGGGAAAAGATAAGGGGGGGGAGGAGGGGGTTAAGGGGAAAAGGGGGGAGGGGAGAGGGGTTAAAGGGAAGAAGGGAGGGGGATAAGGGGGTTAATTGAGGTTCTTACCAAAGTTGCATGAGTTTTCTGATGATTTCTCTAATCTCGGTTTGTCTGTCTGTCTGTCTGTCTGTCTCTGTTTCTCTCTCTCTCTCTCCTCTCTCTCTCTCTCTCTCTCTTCTCTCTCTCTCTCTCTCTCTCTCTCTCTTCTCTCTCTCTCTCTCCGTTTTTCTGTTTTTCCTCCTCTCCCTGTGGTTCTCTGCTTTTCTATCATTTGCTGTTTGTCTACTTTTAATTTTTTGTCTGTCTGTTTCTCCATCTGCCACTGTTTCTACCTGTGGCAATATGTCTGTCTTTCTATAATTCCGTTTGTCTGCCTTTCGTTCTTTGTCTCTTTCTGTCTGTCTGTCTGTCCATTTCTTTGTTTGTATTGGCTGTCTATCTTCTCTCTCTTTCCATCTACCACTGCTTCTACCTTCTCTGCGTGCGGTCTGTCTATTTGTCTTCCGTTATCCATTTTCTTGTTTAGATGTGTATCCTTCTCTCTCTATCTCTCTCTCTCTCTCTCTCCGTCTCTCTCTCTCTCTCTCTCCTCTCTTCTCTCTCTCTCTCTCTCTCTCTCCTTCTCTCTCTCTCTCTCTCTCTCTCTCTCTCTCCTCTCTCTCTCTCTCTCTCTCTCTCTCTCCTCTCTCTCTCTCTCTCTCTCTCTCTCTCTCTCTCTCTCTCTCTCTCTCTCTCTCTCTCTCTCTCTCTCTCTCTCTCTCTCTCTCTCTCTTTATCTTTTCCCGTCGCTGTTTATATTCTTATTTCTTTCCACTTGTCACTGTCTTTCTCTGTTCCTGTCTGTGTCTGTTCACATAACAGATTTTTTCCTTTTTTCAATCTAAATACAGAGTGGCATAAAATATCATAAGTATATCACTTTATTATTCACAGTTATCATAATCCATTGCTGAATAAAGAAGAAATAAAGGATAAAACTAAGATAAAAAGAAATGAGAGAACGATAGAAAAACACGAAAACAAGAAGGAAAAATAAAAGGAAAACGTAAATAAGAGGAAAAGGAAAATAAAGAAAGAGGAGAAGAAATAGAAATACAAGAAACAGAGAGAGAGAGAGAGAGAAGAGGAGAGAGAGAGAGAGAGAGAGAGAGAGAGAGAGAGAGAGAGAGAGAGAGAGAGAGAGAGAGAGAGAGAGAGAGAGAGAGAGAGAGAGGGACAGAGGACAGAGAGAAGAGACAGACAGAGAGAGAGAGACAGAGAGAGGAGAGAGAGAGACAGAGAACACAGAGAGAGAGAGAGAGAGGAGAGAGACAGAGACGAAGAAAAAGGAGAAAAAGACAGAGAGAAAGAAAGAGTCCCACTCACCGGCGAGACAGACAGAGAGACAAAGAAGAGAGAAAAAAGACAGAGACAAAAAAGGAGTCCCACTCACCGGCGGCACAGCGTAAGTGCAGTGGAAATCGACGTTGTAAGGGTTGGGATACCCCGGCGTGTGCAGGAAGAAAGCCGAGGAGTTGGTGTGCGTCCTGCAACATCCGGGGATCGGGTTGAAGGACACCGTGGCCTTGAATCCTCGATGTCCTCCTTCCTCCCCCTTGAAGTAGAGGATCATGGTGTTGCTTGAGGCGAACCCAGCGCGTGCCCCGGGGCCACGTCGTCCCGCATTTGCTGCAACGGGGGAGGTCGGAGTGAATGTTTGGGGTGGGGGGGGAAGGGGAACGTTTTTCAAAGGTGGGTAGGGAGGAGGTCGGAGTGAACGTTTGGGGGGGGGGGGGGGGGAACGTTTTTCAAGGATGGCAGAGAGGAGGTCGGAGTCAACGTTTGGGGGGGGGGAGGGGAACGTTTTTTCAAAAGACGGGCAGAGAGGAGGTCGGAGTGAACGTTTTGGGGGGGGGGGGAGGGGAACGTTTTCAAAGACGGGCAGAGAGGAGGTCGGAGTGGACGTTTGGGGGGGGGGGGGGGGAAGGGAACGTTTTTCAAGACGGGCAGAGAGGAGGTCGGAGTGAACGTTTGGGGGGGGGGGAGGGAACGTTTTTCAAAAGACGGGCAGAGAGGAGGTCGGAGTGAACGTTTGGGGGGGGGGGAAGGGGAACGTTTTTTAAAGATGGGGCAGAGAGGAGGTCGGAGTCAACGTTTGGGGGGGGGGGGAGGGGAACGTTTTCAAAGATGGGCAGAGTGGAGGTCGGAGTGAACGTTTTTGGGGGGGGGGGGGGAGGGAACGTTTTTCAAGGATGGGCAGAGAGGAGGTCGGAGTCAACGTTTGGGGGGGGGGGAGGGGAACGTTTTTCAAAGACGGGCAGAAGTGGAGGTCGGAGTGAACGTTTGTGGGGGGGGGGGGGGAGGGGAACGTTTTTCAAAGGATGGCAGAGAGGAGGTCGGAGTCAACGTTGGGGGGGGGGGGGGGAGGGGAACGTTTTTCAAAGACGGGAAGAGAGGAGGTCAGAGTGAACGTTTGGGGGGGGGGGGGGAGGGGAACGTTTTTTCAAGATGGGCAGAGAGGAGGTCGGAGTCAACGTTTGGGGGGGGGGGGGGAGGGAACGTTTTTTTAAAAGACGGAAGAGAGAGGTCAGTCAACGTTTGGGGGGGGGAGGCGGAACGTTTTAAAAGACGGGCAGAGAGGAGGTCGGAGTCAACGTTTTGGGGGGGGGGGAGTGGAACGTTTTTTCAAAGACGGGCAGAGAGGAGGTCGGGAGTCAACGTTTGGGGGGGGGGGGGGGGAGGGGGAGAGTGGAAAGTTTTTCAAAGACGG